CAGGTAATTCAGGTAGAGATCAACGAAAATAACACTCACTGGGGAACTCGTATTAATCTGACAGTTTTCAATGATTTAACTACTTTGTCGAGTTGGGGAAAGAGTGAAATGATGCTGTTTGAGAGGAAACTGCCACTGATTATTCATGTAGCTGGTGACCTGAACTGTGCGAAATGCAATTCTGTTGCAGTATACGGTTAGTTACTGCCGACTTTGCCCAGCTATCTGTCTGACCATTCGACTGTAAATATGAGGTGAACACCGAATTTTACAGCGGACCAAAAATCAGTTTATTTTTCACTGCGAAGTCTGAGTAACGGCAGTGCTCAGAAGCAAAAGCTAGGCAAATGAACAGAACAGACCTCTGCAATCTATAATAGTTGAATGGCAGTATCGCCCTAAGTTAAGGCTGATTATTGTAACTAATCTATGGCTGGTAGCATACCATTGGCGATGGCTTAACTAAGATTGCATTATAAACAAAGAACAGGTGGTATTCAATGCAAAAGTTGTCATTTTTCCCAGGTTTGCAAGTTTAATAAATGTAATAACGATTTCTATTTGCTCTGGCGTCTGCTAACCACTGCAGCGCAAAAATGCAAACTCAACCTAAGCTGGTTTGGACAACATTTTCCACGCTCCATGACTAAGGAAGCCATGCAATGAAATTCTATTATTAGACATTAACTGCTTCATTTTCCATTTTTTATTTGTTACAGGTTGAACAATGATAATCTTTACACATTTTCAACAGTTCGTCTTTGTAATCGACAAAGAACAGCTTGTTCAATAGTACAGCGGATTATACGTAATCCAGTGAGCGGTGGGATGATTCTTGGCGGCTTCCGACGTAGTGAACAAGGATTTGTACACTTCACTGACTTTGCCATTCTCCTGAATTGATTTAAATTTTTTTACATCGTTCTGCTTTGATGTCGACGGAAGGCCAGAATCAAATGCTTCTTCGCGAACTTTTCGTTTAACTGAAGGACCAGCAGATTCTAAATCAAAAACACTAATAATACAGAGGCTCGAAATATTCTGTCACAGAGCAAAACATGACAAATATGCATAAACATGTTAATTTAAACAAATAAATAACGCTCATAAATTCTCCATTGATCGTATAAGATATACGACTAGTGGAAGCGTTACTAAGTACAAATACTCAGCAGTGGCTTCAGTCAGGTGACCGTATAATTCGACGATGCATCCGTTTACAAATCCTGCGTATGCTGTGATTATTTTGACAATTTTAGAAACACTGGCTCTGCATATAAACAGTAATCTAATGGCCAGTGGTATGAAGCAAATAAGTTGACATACGATGAATATGGAAGAAGCCATTACAAAATATTTACAATATTTTACTTTCATAATCTAATCGCCGTAGTTGCCAATCCAAATCTCGGATAAACAAGAAGTGTTATACACCGGGTAAAAATCAGCAATCTACTAAAGAAATTTCTGCTATTGAACGTTATACCAGGTAAGTCGTCGCTCGGCTCACAAATGCTCGGACAGGCTGTCAGAGAACCGAGGGAGGCTACAAAAGTCAGTCATCCGAACTTTTTTCATGTTATTGCGCAGCTAGTGGCGTAGCAGCAAGATAACAGCTACCGAAGAACAAGAAGACAAGAAAGACGTCAGTCGGACGGCAACGTATCCGCTACCAGTTCTGAACAGAGGAGGCATACAGCCCAATGCCATTATAGCATGTCAAATAAGGATCGACGGAAACGACACCGTCAGTGGTACCTTATAATCGGAAATTGGAATATATTCTCGTTCAGAGAGACAGAGCAAGAGTTAACTGGTAAGAACGCAAGATGTCAACTCGACATAGCCGGACTCTCATAAACGAAACAGAATTCTTAAGGTCTGCGGGTAGAAGCATTCGTACTCTGGCGTCTACTGTACAACCATGGCCAAGGCCGGTGTTGGTGTTCTCGCAGAAACCAACCTGGCTGACACAGTCATTGAATGCCAGTGCAGGATGGCAATCTTTGCACTGGTATCAATTTTCTTACAACAGGCCAAAGCTTTGACAGTGTTACAGGTCCACGCACCCAATTCAGAGGTTGTTGGCACCCTTTACTGCAAACGACAGAGTAAAATGCGAAGACCTGGAAACAAAAGCAACCAGAAAATCAAATGGAAAACATCATCTGCGAATACGACGTCAAAACTTGTGAACATTCAAAGGTCTTTGAATGACGCAGAGTTTAAGAAAGAGTTCATACTGTTTAAAAGCAGTTTACTCGGTACTACTGCATAATGCGGCGCTTTTAAAGGCGTTGGACTGCTGTCTGACGGGTCGACTGGCTGACAGAAAAACAGCATTCTGCAGGTGGCTTGGAACAAAGGCAGTGGCGAAAGTGAAAGCTGATTTCTGACAAAATTTTGGTGAAGTGCTGAAGGTCATACAGTAAACAAGGTATTCAAATCATCTGTAACGTAAGAGAAGAAAAAAGGGAGTTTGAGACTATTGATGGACAAGCCTGGACACCTTAACAAGGAACAGAATGTTCTTCGGCGATGGACAGACTACACTGAGGAACTTCGAACAATCGCAGGAAGACTCGCCTAAAGAGCAGCAAGCAATTAAAATGAGTCTTTCAGTAAAAAAATATCTGAAGCTGGACAACTGGCAAGGCTGCTGGAATCGATGAAAGCCGCCCTGAGACGTTTAAAGCTTAATGCAAACTAGGCATGCGATGGCTAACGCGCGTCTGTTCAACTTCAATGACTACCATAAGGCCCCGGGTGTGCTCCATGCATTGGGACATTACCTTTATGAGTATAGTTAATGTAAAGGTTCGAGAAACGAGGTGCCAAAGAATAACTGACTACATGATCGAAAGAGAACAATGCGGCTTCGGTTCATGCCGAAGCACCTTTAATTAGATCTTTGCCTGACGTTGAAAAGTCATGGGAGTTTGCTCATCCAGTGCATATGTGCTTTGTGGACCTGTGCCTATGAATGGATCCCAAACAATCTATGGAAGTGCGGGCAAACATATGGGATCAATGACCAGTTGCTGCGTTAGAGTAAATGGCGTTAAGTCGAAATCTATCAGCGTTGGGACTGGTCTCCGATGAGGCTGCGTTCTGTCCCGTCTCCTGTTTGTGCTTTTTGTACATCGATAAAATAGTCAGGCGAAGCCAGGGCGAAGGACATAGGGAATGTAGAGGCGAGAAAGATGACGCCGTTTGAAGACAACCCTGTTTGTTGGCATCTTCTGAAACTGATCTACAACGCTCGCTGATGTACACTGTAAATAAACCGAGATACAGGGGAAAAGGTGAAGAAAATCATGTACTTGTGGGTCGTGTTAACTAGTTGCGGAAAATGGTAGGAAACGATCGACTGACAACTGGGATGGCCAGCGGCACTTTGGCACTTTTTACGAACTATGCTGAACCGTTGAGTTAAGGCAGAGCTGAGTCGAAAGACTAAGACAAGGTTGTCTCTGTTCAAGTCAATTTTCAACGCCATTGCAACTGTGGCCATAAGTTGTAGGCCAGGCATGACAAAACAATCATTCGGGCTACAAGCGGCTGACACGCCTGAGACGAATCGCCGGCTGGTATGATATGATACGCGTTTCGATATGATCCGGATATCTGGGAGAGCGTTGGTGCACAACAGCTGCTTCTTCAGTGTGACGCAGCTGTGATGGTTTCTGGCAAGTATTATAAATGCTTTTAGAAAACGAAAGCGAACCACTTGCTCAGCCGACAGACCAAAGACTCCTGGGATTTCCAAGAATGACGTGGCGCAATTGTTTCAAAGAACTCTGCTCCAGACTGAGGCTCTTTTCCATCGAAGCTCAAACACTGGCACAGGATCGGGAACGTTAGAGATACTACACTGTCTGATACGTCTACGTCTGCTACCTGAAGGAATGAGTGATCATCCCAACTGACTGACGGAGGAAAACTGAGTAATCATGCATTTTGCAACTCTTCTGACTTAACTGAAATAACGATAAGACTATGAGACACACGTGAGAACAGACGCAGACTTCACAAGATTTAACGATAAAAAATCACTGTCTTTATCTTTACTGTTTCAGCAGCAAGAATTGAAACATGCTTGGAAATATTGAGTTATGCCACTTACATTTCATTGGGTCATGCATGAAAAATAACTTGTCAATTTAAGACACAAAATTTTACTGAAACGAATGACGGAACGAAGGGTAAACGAACTGATTATAAATGAATATACCTTTCTGCTGGCTGACGCACTTGGCTGCATGCGACTTTGCACGTGCTGCACACAACCTGTCCTTATAACAATTAACTTCTTCATCCGTGCCATAAATGACTACCACGCTGTCAGGTGTGTAGCTTTTTCCGCACTGAAAGCAAATTCAAACATGAAATAAACTAGACATGATATCAAACGAGTTTGAGAAAAGTTTTACGTAAAACCGATATCCTATTTATAATTATGGCGAGTATTACGAATCAAAAAAATCTGTGATGGAGAAAAATTATTCCTAAAAAACTACGAAATACTTTTGAAATGTTACACTAGCTAATAAAAAGCCCATTTTTGCCGTCATTTCAATAAAGTTATGATCAATCAATCAAATTAGTTAATATCTTCTCGGAGCTTTGTTGCACGAACTGAATAAGGGTCGTATAGTTATCGTCGTGCCGAATAAACATAAAAACTAAATTTTCCATGAAACAGAATAGATATGAGTCGATTCTCCTATCTACAAGTATTTAACATTTGATTTTAATCATCGGATCTAGTCCTAGGATATCAAAGCGTGAAACAAATGTATCAACTGACGAGATTAACCCACCCATAGATGAATCAAGAGCCAAGAATCTAAAATTCATTCAGGAATTTTGAATTTAAATTTATCCGTTTTCACAATCACTTAAAGCCAAATAAGAACAAACCACAAATCTGTGATACCTAAATCGACTAACAATGAGTTTCTGATATTTCGCATAGTACTGCATCAAATATCCATTCACATGAAGGTTTTACCAAATTTAAAGTGTCCTTCAAGGCAAAGTTCAATTAAACGATTCTCACGCGCAACGATTTTAAATGAATTTTGACCAATTCTATCAAAATTTGGCAAGCAGTGATTTCGGAATTTTGCTGATGGACTTCTCAAACTAAAATCGTTGGCCGTCAACGCTTCGTTCGTGATTCGGTTGAACAGGTTCCATAGAATTTGCAAGATGCTTCGCAGATAGCATTGTCTGAAATCATCAAGATGAACTGCATGACCCCTCAAGACTGCATGTATTTCCAGGCTACACAGTGAACAAGACTGCCATCAAGATGGCAAGTTCGCATTTGTCCTTAATTCGACTTCTCCGTATTTCGCACCGTTTCTGATATTTTAAAATAGCAATAGGAATCCATTGCGCTAGTACACTCTAGGATCAATGCCATTATTAGGTAAGACTCCAATGCAATTGAAATTGTGCAATTCTACAGCATCTTCTGGCCAGTGATCGTGGCAAATGCTCTATTGAATGTCGTGATTTTGGCGTTGATGAAGCTTCACTCCCACAGCTATGATGCACAGGACGCATACAGCAGGTCGCTTGTGAAGTCGCTCAGTAGCAAGAATTCATCGGTATACTCACTGTCTGTTAGGAGCACCGTTGTGTATCTCGAGCTGTATCCCTGACTAGCGATCAGCCCCTAGTTGTAATTTGGAAAAACGTTCTACCGCATGACATAGTCCGTCATGATGTTAAACAATAAATAAGAGGGCATCTCGCCTAGACAAATTCTACTCGTAATGCCGAACCAATCCGGCAGTGATCCTCCTGCGCAGACGCCGCATTTTGTTCCCTCATACACATTTTTAACCGTTTTACAACTGTCTGTGGAACTCGTTAGTGTCGAATAATACTTCACATGGTTTGATGATGCACTGGATTGAAGGTTGCCCAGGAGTTCAAAAACGCCTCATGCCAGGGCCAGTGAAGCTACTGTACTACCTAAATTTTCTGTTTAACAAACAGATGTTATCCACGGATGAATATTTCCTCCAGAAGCGCATCTGTTTCATTAAAATGCATAAAGAATCCATGGCCTTCTTCGGTCTTTGACACACTGTCCATGCAAACGTCTGCAGCAAAGACAGAAAGGCAATTTATCGAAATTTAAGCAATCGGGACAATGGACAATTTCCATTTTTGAAAGTTAGATTGATCATGCTTTTCTATTAGTTGTTGGGAATCACTGGTCATTCAAGAATCCTCAAGAATCAAGCTGATAGGGCATTTCTATTTCGCATTTCGCACAGCAACATGTCTGCTTCGATTTTGTCATGCGTTCAAAACTATGACCTACAGCAGAGACATATTGCTTCTCGAAATTTTTAAATCGATGTTACAATTCTGAAAATATTCAAATTTGGCCAATTTTTATATTTTAAGATCTAGCACAAGACAAGAGTTCTTTACAGCTCGATCTGCCATCGGTTGCAACAGTCGCCAGGTCTTGCAATGGATTAGACTGACTGCTGCAAACCATTGGTTGCCAACGATGGCAGCGACGATAATCTGACCACTCCGCTTCTTTTTTCCCATTTCATCGCCCTTTTTCAACTTCACAATTTAGACATCCAGTCGTCCCTGCTTCTCACTGTCATAACTACTGATGCTGACCGAACGGATAATTATAGGTCAAGCTGCCTGACTGTAAACGGATAACGTATTTAACGAATAGTGAAGATGACACTGCGAACAGCAAAACATTTCATGTTCATCTATTCGCAATAGCGTAAGCAACGGATGTAGCGCCATATTTTATGCCCGTACTTTACACGTTGTCTTGTTATGCACATTCAAGAGGGTGGTTTAAAAATATAACTCTGTAGTTATTAGAAGCTCACTTTGAAGTATATTGAGAAAAATCAGAATATGTCACCTTATTACAGCCATCCGACTTGACTTCTTTCAACGCTTTCTCTGACAGCACACACCCGCAGGACCAAATTACGCAAAACCTGAAATAAGAAAATGTAGAACGTATAAACAACGTGTACATATACTGCAACTTAAGATTGCATTAAATTTTATTTATTTTTTTCCCTGCCGATGAATTACACTCTGTGATGAGTAATACCGAATCAGGAACGTGGGAGACATTGTCTGTCGCGTCTGCCCAACCTCCCCTTCCGCGATATGAAAGGATAGGCGGTCGCTGAAACTGAGTGACTGACTATAATAGGTATTTAGTATCCTTCCCTTATTATAATCTATTCTGACAAACAATAATGGCTAATGAAGTAATGCAATTTATTTTATACCTACAGAATCAAGGTGTTTCAGCCTCAGGAGCATCGAATATAAAGTTGAAAAATGTTGGGTTCTCAACCTAACCGAATCACTGGCTTTCCATTTTTTAATGTAACTCAGTATACCATAATGAGAGAACAAAGCAGGGAACTATAAACTATAATGGCCAACAAATATCTACTGGCTGATGAAATCGTAAAAAAATTAACGGCGTGATATAACCATAAAGGAAAAGATGGAAATAAATAGCGGCCATCATGGATGTCGACAAAAGACGGAGTTTCCAATGTTTAGAAACTTCTCATCGTCTCCCGTTTAGTGCCACTAAGTTAGACTGCTATTCTTTATCGGTTGGTATACATCTCGATATCAACCTTAATCGAACAGATGAAACATTAGAAAAAGGCAAAAAGTTTAATCGGGGAAACAGGTGATTCTCTTGGACATGAAACACTATGTGAAGAAGATAAACTGAAGACCAACGATGTGCCTAACGCAAGTGAGAACATACCGATATTTTCCATTCATTTCTATGCCTACGATTGGGCAAATGTACGGCGCTATATTGTTGTCACTGTACTCGCCGCCCTTGTCAATTCGATTGGCATCGTAAGCTGGATTCCTCGTCAATTTAAGTTCTTTTACGTCCTATAAACAAAAGCTGAACATTAGCACAGGCCAGAAGAAAGATTCGAAGTTTATGGACAATGATAAACGCTGAAGAAGATGCACTTGGAAGATGCAGATGGAAAAACGATGGTGCAGATGGAAAAAATACATACATGTCAAGACTACTGAAAATGCTCTCAGAAACGACTTTCGCCCCTTACTCTTTACCGGTCTTAAGAACGATGCGCATATGATGCAAGACAAGATAACAATTCACTCCAACAGCTGACGCTCCTTCTTACAAATGACATCAAAAAGCTGCCACCAGCGAAATACAAATACTTTCATTATACAATTCAGTCCAGTACCGCTCAACGTTAAACTGTATCCCTCATGCTATTCTACTGAAATCAGACTTTCGTGCTCAAGCCATCCTTTTCTAGTTCACAGGCGGTCAACATATTTCACACACAAGAGCTGGTTTATAGCAGCGGTTAAGGACAAATAAAGCACTTGTTGTAATAATATAGTTCTTCAACGTTCAGAATGATCTTACCCTAACGCTGCTCAGCTCCATCTTACAAGGAAAGATATGGCATTAAGTCTATTTCGAAATTAACTAACTAACAGAGTGCTGTTTGGAAACGTCGGAGATCTGCAAGGAAACCATTCTTCGTATGCTTATCACCAGCTACCGTAAAACGCTAAACCTGATAGCAAAAGTGATCAAGAAACTAAGCAGCTCAGCGCAGTAGAGAACTGTATGCTGAGGATAAAATAATTCCGGGAGAACAGTGACTGAGTGAGAGCGACCGTAACGTAAAATTCATAGGTATGGTTGTGCCGGGAGGCAAATTTATATGTAATAACTTTTTAAAATACTGGCTTCTGAATTTTTTGGCTTTAAACTTTATGGGAAATGGCTTAGGAAGGAACTGATCTGAAAACCGTTCAATGGGTCAAACACTGATTTTATATTGCCCTTATTTTGCTCTGACTGTGAACGCTAAGGTCACTTGTGTTGTTTTTGAATTAATTGTATTTCTGTGAGATCAGTGCAATTTGGATGCCATACTGCAGCTGCTATATTTTATGCACTGTTAAAAAATAAATTCACTTTCACGAAAGCTTGAAGCCTGTGATGAAGTCATGACTGCAAATTTCGAACAGTCATTTGTCACATGGATATAGTGCATATCTTCACAAAAGCAAAGGCATGATTTTGCCTTTACCGAAGGATCCAAATATATTAGGCTAATTTGCATAGCTTCTCAGTTCAAAACTATGATTGTAGGAGGCAAGGAAAAGATTGGTCACGAAAATGAATATGGGGATTAGCAATTGCTTCTTTCCATAAAGTGTATAGTTCAGCAAGATTATTTGCAAAGAGGCAGTTTCTTTTTATTTACAGTTTACGTCGTGTGTTAAATTTTGCTCCGCTAGCAGGTGGGTCAAAGAGAATTGCACTCGCAATGTGCATGCATCAAGCAGCATGGTCGTACGATAAGCACGCTCTCGCAGGACCACACTAGTTCAACATCGACTGAATCAAAGTTTTTTTTCTGAATTCATGGTAGGAATCCTTACATGGCATTCATGAGCAACTACAAATCTCAATTCAACCATGGATTAACGTACGTTAATAATAACGAAAAAGATGCTAAGCTACATTCTTCGCTAATATTGATTTAAAACACTACCAACATTACTTCCTTAAAGTTCAACGTACTTTCAAATGCTGAATATGCTCCGCACCCTCGATAACTCCGCTGCCTTTCTTCAGCAGTGCTTCGAGGACAGCTTCTTTGTTATACAACCTAGAAACAACACAGGCATATCTATATCTATATAACTAGCAACGTCATATCGCACTATATAGAGCAAAATACAAAGGAATAATTGAGGACGTCGATAAACGTGAAATTTTTTTACATAGCTCACGGCACTTAGTATGGCCTCTGGTACAAAAAGAAAACAGAACACCAGTAAATACTGGAGTGCTGATCCTATTATGCTAAACACAGTCCGTTTCGTTTTAGCAGCTTATGCTTTAACTGATTTCGATTTCGGTTGCATCAGTCAGGGTTATGATACTTCTCAAAGAAAAAGGTGCCTGCAACAATGAAGTCTACTGTGGCTTGCCATGCATCACTCAGAGTTTAGCATCAAGGTAGAAGAAACGGCTCAACAAAACCAAAACATCCTGATGAACATTAAGTTGTCTAATCAATTCCGCTTAACAAACTCAGTATTAATCAAATGACGATTACCATAAATACGTGTAACAAAGTATTCCTGTTTTCCATCTTATAGCTTAAAATAAATGCAGAAAGTGGTACTTTTTGGGTTGGTGATCATCAAAGGAACCGAAATAGGAACCAATGCAAAATACATTTAACGACTCCGAAGAACAGCCTTTACACTGAACAAAGGAAAGAAATGCACCTAGCAATTTGCGACGAAATGACTGATCATAATATAATCAGCGACAAATGATCATAAACAGTTCAATTCAATCAACAGTTGCAGCAGTTATGCTTACAGTACAAAGCACTATTACTACATTATCGAAAGCTACCATGAACAAGCCTTTAATTAGCAAAATTGGGGCAAAGTGGAACACGGATCGGCTCCTTTGGTTTGTTTGAAGAAACCATCATCGAAGGAGAAATAATTCGCCTTTACCATACAAAAGGTTTTAGCATTATTTAGTTATTGTTACTAAGCGAGTTACCTTCTTGAAGAAGTTTAAGGTTAACAGTTATGTTAGAAAATAGGTATTTAACGTCCTAACCGACCATAATGCCTCTTTAAGAGAGCCTAACCTGTTTCAGTTCTTCACGAAACTCACGGGAGTTTTCGGTTAAAGATTGCTTACTTCCGATTAAAGGTCGGAGTATTTTACCAGTCCATTTCGAAACCTATTCGAAAAATAGTTCACAGCAGAGACAAGAGGTCTGAAGGGAATATCATATTTATCTATTTTAGGTAAAGTAGCAAACAGTGGTAAAGTAACGGTGATGAAAATAAGTTATTAGGCCTTCTCAATGGCTATTCCCTCAAAATATCAAGTTAATAATTGAAGGCGAAATAAAGTACAGTCTTAGATTTCTTAATGTTT